CCGGGCCTGCCGGTCTCTGGCTGCTAACCTGCAGCTCCGCACCCAGGGCCAGAGTGTGCAGGAGCCGCACGATGCCACCGCAGACCGCGATGAGGAGTACGACATTCCTGAGGGGGTGGAGAGCGTGATCGGTACGGCCGCCCCCTCCCGCTCTGCCGGTCGGCACCTGGCCCAGGTCTGGCTGTGTGCCTCCGGGCAGAGCTCTCTGGGGAGGACTTGTCCTTAACGCCTTCCTCAGAGGCCATTTCACGCCCTCCACACCATGGGGCTCTCGGGCGTGGTGGTGTCCCTCCGGAGGCTGTGGCCAGAGCAGCAACAGAGTTTGCGGTGGCCACCCTCGGCCGCCCCGTCCTGCACCCGCCTGCCTGCCAGCCCTCGCGTGCCGCTCTCCTCCGGCCTCCCCTCCTGTAGGGTCTCCTCCCCACCTCCCCTTTTACTCCTTAAGGGCAGAGCCTTTATCTGAGCTTTTATACGCATTTAAAAGCTGTCTCTGGTCCACGCCCCGTGCCCCTCCGTCCCCTTTTCTTCTCAGCTTCCTGGCTGGGGCATGCTGAGCTGCAGCCCCTGTGGCTCTCCGCTCAGGCCCATTGCATTCGGTTCAGGGCAGGTTTCCCCCGAGTTGCCTTTATCCGCTGTCTACCTGCGGCCAGTCTCCTGTGCTCGGTCCTTCCCTGGCCCGCTGCCCCTCGGAGCCCCTCCCTGTGGCTGTCGGTTGACACCTCGGAGCCCCTCCCTGTGGCTGTCGGGTGACACCTGCTGCCCTCCCCAGTGGCCCCAAGGCTCTTAGAGCTGTGCTGCCCCAGTCTCTCAGCCCCACAGTCCACTTCCCTTCCTGGACTGACTCGGCCGCCGTGTCCCTGCTGTCCCCAGACTGTGCAGCTGCTCCTGGCTGCTGCGCTGTCCCCCAGCCCCTCCCTGGCTGCTGCAGTACTGCCCCAGGCCAAGGCTTGGACCCGACCGGGCTCAGGCTTGCAGGCCTACCTGACCTCAGCCTCCTCATGGCCTGTGCTTGGTTTTCCCTGGTCTGGCCTGTCCCAGGACTCCAGCCCCAGAAGAGCTCCCCTTCATATGGCCACTAACGGGCGGTTTCCTCTGGGAAGCCCTCCCAGCCTGCTGTGTTCACCCGACTTCACTCCTGATCTACCTACCGCTGCCTCTCCTGGGACCTGGGGAGGCCCTGGCCGCTGGCCTCCACCTGAGGGGTGGGGGGTCCTACTTAGGAACGACGGCAGACAGTGGCACACGCTGCCGTGTGCGGGTCTCTGAACATGGACTGCCTAGCCGTGGCACTGCGCACAGCGCTCTGTGGCCAGGGCCTCGTGGGAGGCTGGCGCTCCTTTCCCAGACCAACTCGGTCAGGCTGGCATGGCGGCACAGGCCTGTGGTCCTAGCCAGTGGGAGGCTGGGGCTAAGGACCAGTGAGGAGACCCTCCCTAAGTATTTCCTCACCTCTGTAAACACAGTAGAGAAAAGGGAACATTTTTATAATCAAGTCCTCCCCCCACAGGGCACTTGCGCTCACTGAGACAGACTGAGAGGGAAAGTGAGAAATCGTCCCCGGGGGATGGGCACATACATACATGTGCCTGGCATGATTTGCAAGTTGCCAGGTCTGGGAATCGAACTGTGGTCAGCCTTGTGGGAGTCCAGTGCCTTAACCACCACACCAGTTGCTGCTTTCTGAATTAAGATTTGTTATGTGATTCTCTTCCATGTTTTTTTTCTTTTTTCTTTTTTTTTAAAGAGATTTTTGCAATAGGGCATGTGCGCTCACCAGAGAGACATGGAGAGACAGAAAGATAGAAAGGGAGAAATCACCCGCTGGGGGGTGGCCAGACTGCAGTTCCTTCTCCTCCATTCTCCTCTTGGGATTTTGGGCACGCACACAGGGCCAGCGTGAGTTTAAGCTTCCAGGTCCAGGACTTGAACCTCGGTTGACTACGTGGGAGTCCAGCGACATAAACTTTATGCATCTGCTGGTTTCCTCTTCCATATCTTCTGAGTGAGGCGCAGAGTACGTTGAGAGGCTCAGAAGTAACCTTGGCAATACCTGCCTTCCCGCCCTGCACTTCCTCACTGTCACGGTCCTGTTCTCACAGGGCAGCTGCTGGTCGGACTGAAGGACAGAGACACGGTTGTACGCTGGTCTGCGGCCAAAGGGTAGGTCCAGCCCCTGCAGGCCATGGGGTAGGTCCAGCCCCTGCAGGCCGTGGGGTAGGTCCAGCCCCAGCGCTGTGGGGCCGGGCGCACCCCCGCTCGGGA